TGAAGTAGGAGAGAATCTGAGCGATGCGCCGTTAGAGCAGAGGAATGCGAAGCCTGCACAGGAGGCCTGACTCAGAGGTCAGAGCCGCACCGCCACACGGAATGTGGACTGACACCGCTTTATCAGTGCACAAGAACGCACAACGCCATTTCATCGCACAATACATCAGTCGGTTCATCGGAAAATGACATATGCAACGTCAAAGTCAAAGGTGTGATTAATAATGGCCCGTTTTATTTCGTCCAATCAGTGAGGTTGTTAAATGAGAACCTCCTGTGATTATCCCCTGGTTGTTTCTCTGTCAAGTTGAGAGAAGCAGAGTGTGTGAAGCAAACAATTCTTTTAAAAACGTCTTTATCACTTAAAGGTCTTATATCATGCAAGTATGACGCTTGTGCACTTTAAGCCATGTTATAATGTTGTTACCTCATCAAAAACATATCTGTAGTTGTGTTTTTTAATCCTGTAATTATTAGTCTGTCTACTTCTCCAAAGCTCAAAATGTTCCACTTTGTGATGTCATTATAGTGGTTCAAGTTAACAGCTGCCTTTTACATTTTGTTAGAAATTGGCAATTCCAGGGGGGCTGATATCATCCAAATAATTACAGTAAAGGTGTGTGGATTTTAAAAACATTTTGGAACACTTCCTGTTTTACCAGAGGAAATCACAAGGTGGAACAGGGTGTTTTCTGTTTGAGAGAAGAACTCATCTTAATTATGCAGGGTGTGTGTGATAAACATGTGTGAATGAACCAAAAAACAACTCCAGGTATGTTGGTGATGACGAAACATTATAGCATATCTACAGGCAAACATTATAGCATATCCACAGGCAAACATTATAGCATATCAGAAAATAGTAAAATAATATAGGCTCTTTCATTTTGAAAACTGGGTACAGATTTTTAAATTTGGTTTGAGAATAACCCAGTAGGTCTATAAAATGTACAAAAACTCTGATGGGGCTAAAAATATAAACAAACACTTAACTACTATAAACAAAAGTAGACCTTTAATTTAATGCAATAAATGCCTTTTGATCGCACTCTGACAATAGACTTCCAGAAACAACAATAATTGAGTTGATCACAGGCTTTCTCCGTATAACCAATGAGCTACCGTGTATTGAACGTACCCTAAAAAAAAACTGGTGACATAATACATGACATCGATTATCATGCTAATCAAACCTGTGAAAGGATATCTAATGCATTGCTATGGACTAACAAGCACTCAGTACAAAGCAGCAGTCTATTCTAACCTACATTGGAAAAAAACATTTACAAATAACACAAATTCTTTCTCAGAGTATAGTTAAAAGCCTGTGAGCATTTTTGCGCGTTGCCTGAGTTACAGTTGCCTGGATCAAATGCACACTATTCACTTTCAAGGACTGTACCAAGGTCCCGAGTTCTCACTGTCAAGTTGTTCTCCATGGAGATGAAGTTGAAAAAAATAGTACTTAAGGATTTATGACGCAAATAAATGTTTTATCATATTAGAGAGGAGAGGACAACTTGACTGCAGCTTTTGGAGCATTTCAGCAAGAGAAAAGTGACAGACCAATTTCAGTTACTAAGCCATTTTAGATCAGTTCTGTGGTTTACCAATAACTAAAATGTAAAATAATGATCTATGTGGTTGTAGTTTCAACATTAAAGTGGCTGTACCCATTTGCTCGAGAGGTCAAATGGTGCAGCTGTGTGCAGTCTACATCTAATTATAAAGCATAGTCCAGGAATCAGGAATTGTGGTGTTAACATGCTAGTTGCTGTTAGTATTACAACACTCAAATCTGACCTAGAAAGCAAAGAACTGATACTATGACAGATGGTTCTATACACAGCTATAGCATTATATTTGAAAGTTGGAAAAGTGCTTATTTGCGTGAGCCTGAAACACTTCTATGGAAAGGAAATAGAATGGAGTGATTGTTACTGATGTCCAGTGCTGCTTCTCATTTGTTAAACGACGCTTTGTTTGCATAAACACTTTGCCCTAGAGTAGACCTAGAACACAAGCTGGTTTTAAAGAGGGCAAATTATGTGGTTTTCAGACCTAAATTATAATACTTTTACCTCATCACAAACATTCCTGGAGTTGTCTTTTAATTCAGTCATACATAATTAACCCACATCCTGAATATTTAACCTGTGTTACAGAAAACACTCTGTTCCACATTGTGATGTCATGTGGTAATACAGGAAGTGCTCCTCTGTGTTTTTAATCTCCATACATCTTCACTAGAATCATTTGGACAATTTCAACCGTGGAATTGTTCATTTCTACTAAAGGTAAAACGTAACTAATAATAAAGAGTTACTCAAACATGTGTGAATGATACAAAACACAACTCCAGGTCTGTTTTTGAGGAGGTAATAGCATTGTAACATGGATTAAATCACAAGGGTCAATTTTGTGTAATATTAGATTTTTATACCTCATGCTCTTTCGGACCCACAATACATTTACTTGGAACTATAGGACTTAATGTTACAACTCAGCAACTTGTTATCCACCTAACGCCAGAAGTTGTGCGATGTTGGGCACCTGTAAAAGAACTGCACATATTTATTTATCATGTATTTATTTAAATGTATTTTTAAATTATTTTTGACTGTTCATGTATTGTTGATGTTTTTGTAATTATTACTCTGCTTGGTGAGAGTTCTCATGGTTAATACTCATATTTTACACCACTCAAGTTGGTGAGTAAATGTTGTCTGTCCAAAGTTCATAGGCAATTTACAGGGAACTTGATTTTATTAGAGTTTAAATATTAATTCAACTAAGTAAAGATGGTTTGGTCATCATATAATTAGACAAGATTTGGTCCTCGTTTATGGCTGCATGGTTAAGTTTTTGATTTACTTCTACTTATGTAACATCTGCTGCCCATGTAAAAACAAGAATTAAAATTATAAACGTCAAATAAATACATGAAACAAATACATAAATAAATCAATCAATTATAACCAGTCATATGAGCTTTGAGGAAATAGGAAAGCAAAAAAAAAAAAGAAAGTATTCTCTTGCATGGCGGAAACATCACAAGACATCATGGTCTCGGTATGCAGTTTATCAGTAGTGATCATAATCTGAGAATTGGCATCCTTCAACTGGAGTCTGGTGACACTTACATAAAACCAGCACAGCCGTCACACACTTCTGAAACTCAAGCGCACATCATCTTTGACCTTTGCACTTGCACTCCCTCTTGCGGTGAAAAGCAGTGGTGCAGAACATGTTGCACAGAAGGGTTCAGAATTGAGCTTTTAGCAGCACAGGCACGTGTTAAGAAATACACAGATAATGGAGCAAAATATCAGAGGTAGAAGTAAGTTAACATCATCATATCTACCAATTTCTGAACCATAACACCTCACACTTGACAAAAATGTTCTGCAAATTCAGCGTCTTCAAAGTGTCTCGGTTGTCAAATATCATTTTCAAGTTATTGGATTTTTACGTTGCTATGATTTCTTATGATTGCTTTTTCATTTTGCGTACAACTATTACACTTTTATTTTTCAACTACTTCCCCTCTACTGCAAAAAAAAAAAAAAAAAAAAAAAAAAAAAAAAAAAGCCTATGAATTGCGTATTTTACTGTGGTCTACATCATCAACAAATACATTTACTAGGGGTGTCAAATTATCGCGTTAATTGCGATTAATTAATTAGTCATATTTAGCGCGTTATGTTTTTTAATCGCGTTAATCTAATTTTTAATCTCTAACTTTAGTGTTTCTGTATGCGAGTTGCTTTATTATAAAACCTGTTCTTATGTGTTGTTGGGACTAAACCAGGACTAAACCAGGACCAAACCAGAACTAACACCAGGACTAAAACCAGGATTAATCCATTCCAGGACTAAACTAGGACTAAAGTAGGACTAAAGCAGGTCTAAACCAGGTCTAAACCAGGACTAAAACAGGACTAAAACCAGTGATCTCATATATAAAGCAATCTTCAATCTATCAATAATATTTTTAATATGGTTAAGGAAAGACTGGACTTTTTATTGTCTTTAAGTAGACAAAAGTTATTATGTTCAGATTTCCTCGTCTTTGCTTCTTTACAACAAACAGTTTCTTATTCATGGAGACTTGGGCTCAACAGCCAATTTGGAGAGATTTGTTAAACAATAAATGACTTTATAAAGTCACTTTTTTTAAATCTATATCAGTCTTTTGATCTGCCACAATAATGTAATAATGAATTTAAATGAAAATACCTCAAATTTAAGGCTTTTCTCAGCAATTTTTAGGTGAGATTAAAATGAGATTAATTAGATTAATTAATTACAGATCATAATTAATTAATCTGTCAATTTTTTTAATCGCATGACAGCACTAACATTTACACCAACAAATTCTGTACAAAATTATTTATTTCAAAAACATGAATAAATCCACGTAAAAACAATGTTAAACCCGTCATTTGGCTTGCAGTTATAGCAACACTGTCAATAAACTGCAACTATAATCTTCAAATAATAGCTTTGGTAACAACATGCATTTAAAATATTAGATAAACTCGTCATAATTGAAAAAAACAAAACTAACATATACATAACTAACCTTCATGTAACATAAAAAACATTACAAAAATATACAACTAAAAACGGACCTGGGTAGGCTAATTTTTGTATAAATTAGAGTAAAAAGTCTAGTGGCCAATGAACAAAAATTGCCAGTTTCTAACATGGAGGGCCAGTTTGGGTTGAAACAATGATTGTCACCTGAGGCAGTGATAAGAGATAACGTCCAGTTCTCCTTTGTTCTACTGGGCGGGTTCATTTTTGTTCTTCTTTTTGAGGATTTTGCGAAGGCTCTCTGGCATCAAATACGGTCGCTCCGCACTGCCGTCGTTCCTCTCCAGATCCTCCACTGAGAAAAAACAAGCAAACATACATACAACTTTATTTTGTTGCTTGCAAATATCAAATATAGTAAACATTAATTCACACATATAGAAAAAGAAAATTGTTTACGTGTTTGGTTTACATTTCCATTAGGTTTGTAGGCCTTTTTATTGGAAGCGCTATAGAATACATACATTCTGAAAAATTATAACAATATGCAGGATCAATATTTCAATCTTGCTTGTCATATAAACTAGGGATGTAATGATATCCAAATCTCTTTTTACAATATTTTAACGATATGCATCTCACGGTACGATATTTATTGCGATATTTTGGAGAGGCTAATATTATTGTAGATAGGACACTTTTTTGCCTTTAAAATACCTTGACAAGATTCTGATGCACATAATTACTGTCATAATCCTAAGAATTCAAGTAAAAAAACATATTTCTTCATGTTGTTTGCACTGAAATGCATCAAGGGATATGTAGTAATTGCTACTATAACACCATGCATTTAAACAAAGGAACTTGTAAGTCGATATATTGTGACAGCGCACAATATTATTGTGAGACTTTGGACGATACGATATCACGATATTTTGGTTATTGTTACATCCCTAATCTATACTGTATTCTGCATTCATTGTGTACAAAAGAAAAATTCGAAACAATAAAGTATGGTTCTATCCATGGGTTTCAACTTCATGTTTTGTCAACATCTGAGGATAACTGACCAGTTGAAAGATCTCTCTCTATTTTTTTTTTTAATTGTTAATTGTTATGACAACAGTGGTAGTGTTACATCTCTCTGAAACCCATGGATAGTAGTGTACAGGGTGTCCGTTCAGTAACCATAGCAACTACAGTTTAATACACAATGCTACTTGTTTGAAAGTACTAAAAGTTCTACATAGAAAAATGAGTACAAACAATGACTCAAAACTCAAACTCATTATAAAGTGCAGGGAGATTTGAAAGAGCACAGGCACAAGAGCGGCTTCAAGTTTCATAAATATGTTCTGTAAAAAGGCAAAGTTCAGCAAACTACAAATTCAGTTCAGTTCTCACCATGACAACTCTACACTACTTTTTCAGATATTACAAATTTATGTAACTTTTCTGATGGAGGGAATATTCCACAGTATGGTATTATATTTATGCATCTAGTGTTTGATACATTTGAAGTGTTGTTTTTTTTTTGGTTGCTGTTGTTCAAAATACGTTGAAAACCAATAACTAGTGGACCCTGCACCAGAAAAGTTCCACAGTGCATCTTTAACACTCCTCAATAGGCTTATCAGCTTGTTGAGTTTTTAAGCATTACTTTCAGTCACATGATTTCAGTCACTGGGAAACAACTTTCAGAAAAAGTATGTGTTGAATTTTTGTTTAGATAATTGTGTCTGCCATTTTAAATTCTAGTCATATTGATGAAGTTGTGTGAAGTTGTGTGTATGTGTGATTCATTTGTTTGTCATTTAGGAGATTTTGTTTGGACTGTGAGTGTTCTAGCAGCTCAGAAAAATTCATTTCTGAAATATGAAATTCAAAAAGTCCTTAAGGCATCATTGGGTGATTTTCCAGCTCAGAGTGTTAGTCACATTCGGAGCGTAGATCAATACATCCAGTCTAAATAGTGTGTTTTATCCTTTGAAGTCCTTATTCTTGTAGCTTGGCCTGATCTCCCCCCTCGCTGTCTTCGGCTTGTTTCTTCCACAGGATCTCGCGCAGAGTGGACGACATGTAATATGGCCTGGCAGCGGAGCCATCGTTGCGTTCCAAGTCTTCACCTTAGAAGCGCATTGGGGTGAAGTGTGTGTGTGTAAAGTGAACGGGAATGTTAGGAGTGTTACAGGATCAGTGGGAAAAATGGGAGAAGAAAGGGAGGGGGGAGAGAGAGAGACAAAAAGAGATAGTCAAATAGCAAGCAAAGCCAAGACACCAATAAGCAATGTAACAGCTCAAAATAACCCCCAAGGTTGGTATACTGAAAACTAGGGTCTGTTATCTTTAAAATAGCATAGATGTGTGGCAGAAAATATCCATGCGAGGTAGAATTAGTTACAGCCCAACACCACAAGCAAAGTGAGCATAAAGTTTTGATAAAGTTTAAGTTAAGTTGTTTCAGTGTTAATACTTTGACTGTGGAGGATAATGAAGTGAAGGGGCAGTAGTACTTACAGAAACACAGGAACAGAGTGTCCACACACATGGAGTACACGCTGAAGAAGCCATGGGCGATCAGGTAGGAGCCAATCACCACGGTCTGTGGACACACACAGATTTGACTTGGGAATAACTAACAAAAATGCTGTTTTACAGCATTGTTGGCTAAACAATTGTACTTACAATTTAATCAACTAGAAATATATACAGTATAATATATGTTTGATTATGAAAGACAAGTTATCTTTTTCCCAAAATATTTGTAGTATAGATTTTCTCTTCTTATTTTGAGTTTTAAAAATTGCCTAAAAATACTTAAAACCAAAAGTTAGAAATAACTGGGACAGCAAGAAAGAATCAGTGAGGCAAAAAGTCAGTCTATTTCCACAGTCCCTCTGCTTTTAGAAGCACTGCCCATAATGTAAGAAAATGACTTACTATAATGGGCACCCAGTAATAGTGCAAATTGGGAGCTGTGTTCTCAAAGGCCTTGACTCTCCCAGAGAAGAAGAAAAAGGCAAAGACACCTGCAACAGAATCATGATTAATTATTAAATCATTATGAAATGTTATTAAATTATTCAAACATATTTATTATCATAAACTTGGATGATTCATCAAATGGACTTACCGACAAGCCCGACAATTAACAGTTTTCCCAGAAACAAGAGGAAATCTGTGACTTTGTCCAGAACGGCAACCCTACAACACCACAAAAAAATGTCAAATGTTTGTGTACTAAATTGTATTTTACTGTACTAATTAATTTAATATCACCAACCTGATCATATTTCTCATGAGGAGGAGGAAGGCATCTCTGGCAGCAGTGCAGAAGTTCTTACCATAAATTGCCGTCTAGTGGGCAAACAGAGGTATTATATTTCAATGTTACAGAGGCTGTGTAGTTTCAAGAAACAGGTTGAGGCTACTCACCATGATATAAGCATTTCTATTGAGGAACTTGACAAATTTCTCTAAACACCAGAAGCAACATTTAAGGCAGCACAGCAGGAACTTGGTAAACTTATTTTGGGCTCCTGTAAATAATCAAAGAAACATTAGTTATAGACAGAGGATGTTTTATTTTTGTTTTATATGGAACAGTAGAATACCAGACCTTTGAGCTTGTGGTCCAGGTACTCCAGCAGCACTCTAATGATCTGAATGATGGAGAGAATGAGAGAGCCAAACGCAAGAGTGCCTGTGTGATACCTGCGAAAACAAATGCAAAAGTGTAAACTAAATGGTGAGAAACTGTGGGGACTGAAGATAACAATCATGTAACTTCATATAAAAAGTGCAGAGTAGCTTTGTCAAATCCTTTGCTATTTTTAGGTTCTGTTATCTTGACAACGCACAAGCTGAATCATCCTGACATATTTACATAGACTAGAAAGTATGAATGATTATTTCTAATAAAAAAAAAAAAATACCAAAAAAGAAAAAACAACAACATGAAACCCTCTCAAACCCACCTGAGGGACCTTCCCAGGGAGGCAAATACAGGGAAGGCAGGCATATCGTCTGGTTTGACAAAGGCCCAGTAATATGAAGCGAAGGCCCCAGCCAGAGTCATCTGCCCCAGCGCTGTAACAAAGTTAGCGCACCAAAAGAATAGGAAGACGTTGTAGAACTGCAGTCCAATCAAGTACTTGTGGTAAACCGTCTCCCCTCCATAGAAGGCAAAAAGGCATTCCGAGTCTGGACACTCTGCTTTCATAAGACTTGTTGAATAATTCTGAAATAATGACAATAATATCAAGTTATTACTTTCTGATTTAAAAAAGAATTGCTACACTTTATACTTACTGCTGGTTCACATGTCTCTCTAGAGTGTGAACATGCAGACTCGTTGAACACTTTGTACACGGGCTGATTGGAAGTGGACAAGAACCTGGTTTATTCTGTCAAGGATACACAAGACTACTGTGTAACAGCTGTGTTTGATATTTTTGTTGTGAAAAGGATACACTGCAGTGACTGCCCAGTAAGCGATGACCACAGCCAGCAAGAGGAAGGTGAAGAGTGGGTAAAAGAGGGAGCTCATCACATGACCAATGGCTCTGGAAAAGCAAGCAACACAAAATGTGTTTTAATATATTGACTCTGACATGATGGTGTTTCGTCCACAACCAAATATTGACTCATGAATTGCTGTTAGTGTGAGATTTAGTTTCATTTTTCTTGGACAAAATTGTTTTGCTTGTGTGATTCTTAAGAGAAAAAAAACACAGCATGTGCTGAGGATTGGCTCCCTCTGTAGCAAAACACTATTAAAATGCAATAAAATTGCAGTGGTGAAATTTTCCCCTGGTTTTGGGCAGGTTTTGACTTTTAGACAACCCCTAATTTGTAGGAAGATTTTACACACAAAAGTAACTATTAAAGAAAATGAGTGGTTTCAAATCTCCACCAAGTTTGGATGTTGAACTATGTAGAATATTATGCGTATTATCTAAGTGAAGTAACACAATAGAGGTTTCCATATTCCAGCACATGTCTGACCTGCTGGCCTCTTTGATGAGAGCTACAGCAATGAGGATCCTTTTCCTGAGGAAGATGAGCAGCAAGATGATAATCACCTCCACAATGGCCAGGATGATCACTGTTAAACACATGTATCAATATTTATGTTTAGAAATAAATGTGTTCTAATGGTTATGTTTATTCATATTACGTGAACATACTGAAGGCCAGCCAGGTCTGCCTGATCTGGAGATAGACAGAGAAGTCGGTCTGGAAGCCCAAATCCTGAAGGGTCACATTAGCACCTGGCTCTCCTTTCAGCGCTGCATACTCCATGTAGCAGTGGAAGATGCCTACAAACCAACACCACAATAGCAGAAGAGGACATTGTCACATCAACACAAACTAAATAATCCTTATTGTTATGTTTGTGCAAAAATGTTTGAGAATCTTACCATATCCTATAACCAGTATAACCAATGCAATCATAACCCACACCATGATGCCAGCCAGAAAACGTAGTAGCACGATGAAGAGCAGGCTGGTGAGCATGGCAATGACCAGGCCGCTACAGAAGGGTTCAAACCAGGACACAAGAGGTGAGTTTCAGGAGCCTCAATCATCAGTGATATTGTAAGTGTCCAAAAAAGAGCTATCTAAAGCATCATTATTATTATTACTATTACATTTATTTATTTAGACTTACATTAAAATCCAGTACCACGACTGGGTGTAGTCCTCAAAAATTTTCATCACAACTTGGCGAGCCTCAATGACAACGGTGGCATTTCTGTGGAAGCATGTTTGTCGTTTATTAAAAATCAGCTTGGAAATATGCAGGACTTCTTATGGCATGTTGGAACAGCATAATACTGTGTATTATTCTATTCAAACACTTAATACATTGAATATTACTATGGATGTCAATGGATTTTCCTGATGACACAATTTGACTTACTTGACACCATCTACAAGATCCTTAGCCTCTCTCATCTTTCCTGTGCCGTCATCAAAATGGGAGGTGTTACCCACAGTGATCACTCCTCCTTTCTTCCCCAAAGCAGGGAAGCACCTACGAGTGACTGAAAAAACACACAAAAAGAGAATAATAAAATACCAGTAAACTTACATACAGATTAATGTTAATAAAACAGCTTACATGGCACGCTTGGGGTCAGCATAGTAGGACATAGACCTTGCTTAAGGATTTCTGGTATACCCTGAAATATTTGAATATAGAAGCTTGTTACTATTCAAATAAAAAACCTTTAACATCTTTAAATGTGTGAAAGCCTGCTGAAATACCATTGTGTTGGTCACACCCTCTTTGCAGAAGTTCTTGTAGTAGTCAAACTCCTTTTGGTTGTGGTAAGCTTTGACTAGGGTCATGAATTTGTCTGGGCACTTATCAACACACATCTAGAAAAAAACATGTTTTGAATGAAACAGGATACAGTGCAGTGACTGCCCAGTAAGTGTAGTAATCTAAAATGAAAATAAATGATAAACTATTATATAAATTAATGGTTAACTTAACTTCACACAAAAGAAAAAAAAATATGCCCAAGTTTTAATGTTTGTATTGTATTTGATGCATTCTAATATACACTTACTTGACAGAAATGCTTAAGCAATGAATAATTAAAAAAGGACCTGTGTAGTGGGACACTGGAACTCCAGGAGCACCATGGGACTGGCACACTTCATGATGTTGAAGTAGAACAAATATGGCTTCTTTCTGGTAGACCAATAAAACATATGTTCAGAGCGAGTCCCGTAGTTAAAGAGTAAGGGCCAATTTAAGTTACTCACTCGAGGGGAGTGCCAGCGTGTCCACAGAACTGGCCTCGGCTGTCCGTGGGATAGATCACCTTCCTGGGGTCTCCCTGGGACCATGCTGACAATCAGCAAAGAACAAAAGTCACTGATGGATCTGGACTAATGACTAATGTCATTAGTTTGACTGAAGAACTTTGCGAGCACTCCCTTACCCAGAATCCCCACTGCGAAATAGGCCAGTATGGCCAAAATGAACAGGATACAGCATACAATGTCTGTGCAGCCCCTGGAATGGAACAGAAAAATAAACTGCACCACTATTTACTACTGTTTTTATTTGGAAGATTTTTTGGCATTTTAAGGTTTCTTTGACAGAAAGAGACGGAGACAACAACAAAGTGTTGAGACTAGTTGCATAGTTTGCCTGTAGATATACGGATGAGTCACTGTGCTCCCCTGCAGCACATTTGACCTACTGCTTGTATATTTATACAGAGCTTTTTCTTTATAACGCACATACAGACTATGAAGGCTTGAATTAGCATTAGTTGCCAAAGTTAAGAAATGGATGACACTTAAAATAAAGTTTAATTCATTATTTATTATGATCTCTTAAATCTTTTAAAATGGACTATTTCTTCATCGTACTATTGTGTCACAGTGTGAATGTGTTAATCAAGACAACAAATCCAACTGCACAGTAGACATTTTACACAACCAACCAGTCTGTTTTTTTTTTGTTTTTTTTATTCCCCTTGTCCCCCCCTGTCAAAACAGCTGTAAGTTGTTTGCTAAATCCACAGAGTTTCCCTGATGCTGTGACTCACTTGTGGACAAATCCAGCAGACCTTATGTTTTTATGCAGAGCTACTGTCACAGAGACTTTTCCTCCGTTGCTCTGAGTCATTAGAACTATTTGCCAACAGATTCTAACCTGGTTTTCAGATATTTGCACATCTGACAGAGAAGTAGCTGTTATCTAAAAAAGTTTTTACACATTAGGGATTGTGATTTGAATGATCAGTAGAATACAGAACGTGTGTGTGCATATGTAGAGCCTTGAAGGAGGGAGAAGGGGCTAAGGGGAGCAGCTAAGAGTGTATGTGCTTATGTATATGGCTCAGAGTCCTGCACGGATCCATTTTTGGAGACCCGCGCCCGCCCAGTACAGCACCGCACCCTTCCTTTGGCAGTGATAAATCACACCCATATTAAAATCATTCTAACGGAAGCAGCTATCAGAATATGAACTGAAAAGTCACGACTTCAAGAATTATAATCACGAAATGAAATGAAACGGTTACACTTTCTTCAGTATGAATACGAATTCACAGACGTGACTTTACTGTTATCACTTCACAGGCATTATTTATTGCGCAGAGGAAACATCGATCGAGATGCCGGACTTTTGTGGCGCACAGGCCACAAACTGAACCAAGACTAAACCAGGATTAACCCCGGAGTAACCTAGGACTGAACCAGGAGGACTAAACCAGGACTGAGTGTTGGGAGGGGCCTGGAGGTGCGCCCGCGTACAATGGCCCCACGGAGCTAAGTGCATCCGTTGTCCGATCACGCTTTGCAGACACCCTGCTCGGTGGGCTTGGGTTTCACTCTCTCAAGTCCAAGTTTAGTCCTGGTTTTAGTCCTGGTTTTAGTCCTAGTTTTAGTCCTGGTTTTAGTCCTGACCCCCCCGTGTGTAATCACTACAACCGTTTCAACAACTACAAATAGGACTCTGGTATGGCTATAGCAAAGGAGAAATTCAGTTCTGTCAACTGGACATATGTTTTTTGATCAAATACTTTTGGCAGCTCATCCAACAATAGTGACAGACTCAGAGATGTGAAAACAAACTTTCACACCTCTGAACCTGAATGGTTATACTAATATGACTTAGGCACAGTGCTGTTCCATAGACCTAGTTAAAAAACAAACTGTAAAATACTTAGGTGGGTTAGTTTAAAAGTGGGTTTAGTGTAGTTAGCTGCTCCCTTTAGGCAGATATCAGGCAATGTCCACCAGCATCAGAACTGAAGAAGTAGCTTGGTTGAACTGCAAAACGTCTTTGATCAAAATGACCAGTTGCAGTATTGAATTTCTCCTTTGCTATGGATTCTATCTGGAAACCGAAGGATTACACTAACAGCTTATTTTGTTTACAAAGTAGGAAGAAAACTGAGGCACTCAAAGAGTACAAAATAATTAAAAGCCTTTAATACCACATGGCAGATAAAGTTAAAATACGCCAACGCGTTTCGGCCCTTCGGCCTTCATCGGGGCAAACTCAAGATGGATATCACAGTGCAGATTTAAAATAATAGGTATGGGTCACATGTTCACAGTGGGCTGGCCCACAGTCCCCTGGTGCATGATGGGACATGTAGGCTGAACAGATTTTAGTTACAAGCTATTTAAGTTACAAACTATTTAGTTACAAGCTATTTAAGTTACAAACTATTTAGTTACAAGCTATTTAAGTTACAAACTTTAAGCTTGTAACTAAAATCTGTTCAGCCTACATGTCCCATCATGCACCAGGGGACTATGGGCCAGCCCACTGTGAACATGTGACCCATACCTATTATTTTAAATCTGCACTGTGATATCCATCTCGAGTTTGCCCCGATGAAGGCCAAAGGGCCGAAACGCGTTGGCGTATTTTAACTTTATCTGCCATGTGGTATTAAAGGCTTTTAATTATTTTGTACTCTTTGAGTGCCTCAGTTTTCTTCCTACTTTGTATTTGAGACTGGTCCCTACACTGAAGAGCACCAAAAGGACAATTCAGCACATTTTTGTATATCCAAGTAGCACTCCTGCATCCCAAAGCTTATTTTGTTTTTTTTAGAATAGTTTGAACAATGTGACCCTAAGTAATTTAATTTATTTGTGGTCAATTTTTCTATATAGAAAGAATCCGTATTTTCAGTATTTTCACCAACCTGCTCTGTGACTAAAGGTGTAAATTAGCATTCATGTTATAACCACCATCTGGCACCAGCATCTCTCCTATGACTTCTGTCTTGGTTAATGTAATGTTGTGCACTGTCTCTGTGTAAATAAAAGCATACCATACCAGACCATACATGCTGTCCTTACCTGTTCTGAATGGGGCCTTTGAATGTCGGATCATACTTCCTTGGCTCACCTATGAGACAAGAGAAAAGATGACTGTGATAATATGATACAGTTCGTAGCCATGCTGTCAAAGATATCAAACAGGAGTGGTCTCTACAAAATATACTCCTAAAATAGTACGAGTGACATTTAGCTCACTGTCTTTTCCAAACATGCCGCCCCCTCTTCCTCCCATTCTTCAGTTAGACGCCTGTTCCCTGAAGGGAGACACGCCTGGCAACCCCGCAAATTCCTCCCTGCTGACTCCACCAAGGAACCATGGGAAGGAACATGCTAAGTGGGCAGGGACAAGTGACATTTATTTATTTACTTTATATCATCCGAACTGTTTGCAAGCAAAGTGGAGGATCATTCAGCTCTTCAATATCCATTAAGCTTCTATAAAGTATCCACGTACAATAAAAGCATTTGGAGTGCACTGAGCAGATACATGGCTACACACAGAGGAGCAAGGGCTATAACAGGGGAAGCGTGAGCTTATGCCATGGGTTAGCTGATGTAAAACTTCCTCCAGGACAACTGAGGTCAGTGGGACAGAAGTAGAGAGTATGCACTGTCCATGCAAATAGCTGTGGATTTGTTTTAGGGAAATTTTGTTTAAAGTTTATTGCAGTCATGTTCACACAAAAAAAAATCACAATCTGTCAAACTTTAAATAATGAGCTATCTGATGGAAGGTTATGGTTTTGCCTGAAATGCTCCAGATTATAGCATTAAACTAATCTATCTTGCAGGTGCTTTTTTTTTTTTTTTTTTTTTAATTATCTAAACTGAAAGGGCTTGCTTGTACATAGATCTGACCCATATCTTACCTGTTGGCATCTCCTTCTTGTCTCCATCTATATATTTTTTTAGCGTGATTCATCAACCGGTTTCACTTCATAGAAACAGTCTGACCTCGCAGTGTTAGAATTCGTTCACTGTATGGCAGGCGGGTACTTTTTATCATTCGCTGCCATTTGGTCATGACATATGGTAATGCGTCGCTAACGGGGCTAACTGGTATATTAAGCTTTTCCCAAATCCCGCAGGAAGAAGGGCAATGATGTCTTTCCACTTGTTAAAATTCACCAAATATTCTCTTTGTTCCGGCTTTAAATCCTCGATCTCTTCACTGATTGGCTGGTGCCAATCTTCTTCTGGGGTTTTTGCAAACTGTCTAGTGTATTTTGATTCCTGACCTAGTTGCTGGAGAGAAATTAAATTGAGCAGAGGCACTAGGTGGCGCCAGCCTGGCTAATATTTTATGCCATACTGTGGCACATTCCAGGCAAAGAAATCACATCTCCATGGTGACGAGCAGGAGGCAGATACTCCATCAGAAAAGTTACATAGTGAACCTTTAAGAGTTTGCTGCAAGCTGCAGTGAGGGTTTGCATTTTTATTTTGTTCTGAAAAATGAAGTACTACTCATAGTCCCTTGGGTTAAAATACAGGTTCATCTTGGTGGTATCATCTCTGCATAAATTATGTATACAGTCTCTTGTGAAAACACTGTAGCAAGCACTTGACAGTCTCTTCCCGAAACAACAGTGCATTAACTGCGCTCTCAATGTATGCCATTGTGTTCATTCTACCAACACAGCCTAGTTCATAATTTAACTCCTCCAAAAGCTTGGTTACAAAATGTTCAAGAAAGGTCTATGTTTAGATTCAGAACAGCAGTTGTACCTTTTAATGTGCAGCAGTGTTATCTACAGTAAGTAACATTAGTCTCACTCTGCTGATAAGTGAGAGCCACACACCTGTATAATCAGCCACACTCTTTCACTCACTCACACTCACACTCACACTCACACACACACACACACACACACACACACACACACACACACACACACTGGTTCAATACAACACACCCATATCACAGTATCACTCAGGCTAAACTGCACACAAACAGCCTCAATGAACAACTTTGACAACAACATTCAGCAATCGTTAACAGAAAAACAGGTAGTTACCATGCTTTCCATAGTATTCCCCTCCTTCCTCTGGCATGTTTCTTTCTGGACTAAAACGACTCCGACCTGCTTTTTCCTTGGTGTTTTAGCCTGATTTGTGCAAGTGGAAAGGAGCGGGAGTTACTTGGGTTTTGTGAAGGCAAGAACAAGTCCAACCTGTCTGTGACTACAGCACTCTACACCGTTCACTTTAGGCTCCACCCCCCGCACTTCCCCCAATGTTTAGCCTGAAACAACCTGCTGCTGTCTGCTTCCAATCTGAACCACAACCTATTACAAAACTAAATAATGCAATATGAGGAACAATAATTAACAACACAGAACAGGCAGATGTCACCAAGACAGCAGGAAAAGGATCAGCTGAGTGATAAGAGCAAGATATGAAAGATCTTTATCTGTGTTTAGGGAAAAAACTAGAGGGAATTTTCTCACAGTGTTGCCCTCTATTGGTGGTTTTCAGATTCTAGATCTCGAATGTGATAAGTTTATACTTCCAGATGGGAGCAAGAGCTAGTTTTCTTGTTTTCCTGTGTAATACACACAAGCTAAATTCTCAACTGTTGAAACTGATAATTTCTGTTAGGGACTCAACCCCAGAACTTGCTGTATTAGAACAAAAGACTGTGTTTTAACTATATTAATTCTAGCAAGTGGCTTCCCATTTTTAAATACTATATGCCCTCTAGAAAGCTGTGATGTTGTCTGAAACCTAGCAATAAAAAAAACTAAGTTTATTATCTGTAATGGTGATTGGAAACATATGTATAGGAGCTACTATGTCTATAAACAAGTATTATCTTTCTCACTTTACCACAGAGCAGCAGGGTAGCTTTAGCGAAAAGTTGCTCTTAATTGTTTTGTTTCTTCAAAATAATATCACTTCAAAACTAATTTTGTAAAATATTGGAAGTAGTAGTAGTCCTGACTGTCGCTGTTTTGATGTAATAAAAAAGCAAGTAATATTGCATATCAGTACAAAATGAAATTACTTTGATAATATTAGGTTCACATTAAAAATATTTTAGTTTCTGAATTATATATAACACTAAAGGTCACATTCATATAACATAGTTAGTTTTAACAGACATCAAAAATGTATTTAACACAGAGGGAAACTTCTTCTGTTAAACAAATACCCCTCTGTTACTGTCAGAAATAAATGGAATAAAGCGCACCAATGTGTTTTCCAGATGGCTCAGTTCAAATGGAATGACTGAAATTTTCCATCCCATTTTGTTTTATAATCTTGGCCATGAATAAAAAAAAGTGGAATAATGTCACAGTCCTCAGTTTCTAACACAGCGCTTCTGTAGGGGATGGAATTTGACTCCCAAGAATGATAATAATGATTCATCACAACAGCTGCTCCCTGCGCAATCACAATAATGAAACATATGTTCATTTTTATGGAAAGTGCTTTTCACTGGCTGTAGGTTGGCTGTTGTACTATCCATGTATTCATTCATGGTTAGCACTTTTCACATCACAGCCAGAATCCTCAATCACTACACGGGATGAGGTGTTTTTGTGTGGAGTCTGTTCTAGCTGTTTAGAGCTGCATGATTTCACAAAATATTGACATTTCATCTTGTAAATAATTGCTATTGCCTCTTATCTATGATTTGCTAACTGCTACTGCTGCTTCAAATTGTAATTTATTGTGTTGCCCTAAAGATTGGCCCATAGTGGCAGCACACAGTTGTAGCAATTCAGGGCTAACCCTCCACCACATTTTCACAACTGTGCACATTTAACTTCATTTCATCTGAACAGACAAACATTTTATAGTTTACAGACACATAAATCAAATTTAGAGATCGATTTTCATGCTCAATGCCATTACAAATTGTTTAGAATCCAGAGAAACTGATACCTTTGCAGATATTTTTGGGCCAATATGTAGGACCGATTTTGGTAATTTTCCACAAATCTGAATTTAGTGCAAACTCATCCACAAACTTGTTTTACTACAAACTGGATGAAAGAGTAGTGTAATTACAGTTTGCAGTACCTTCTTTGGACTTCAAATAATAATCATGCAAATATCCTGAATCACAAGCTTTCAGTATTGTAGTATTCAGTATAAAAGACTGATTATATGCAGTGTTGGGAAGGTTATTTTTAAAATGTAATCCCCTACAGATTACAGATTACACACCCCAAAATGTAGTTTGTAATGTAATCCATTAAATTACTTAAAGTGAGCAATGTAATCTGATTACTTTGGATTACTTGATATTGTCATGTTTTTTTAAACGACATGAATGTAGCAACCACATCCTGAAAATTCTTGTTTGTTGTCTTCAAATTGTCTGAGCCCAAGTCTCCATGAATAAGCAACTGTTTGCTGTAGAGAAACAAAGACCACGATATTTTAACATAAGAGGTTTTGTCTGTTAAAAGACAGTAACAAGATCAGCCTTTCCTTCACCAGATTAAAAATATTATTGATAGAGAAATTATTTTTTATATGAGATCACCTTAAATTATGTCAACCTACTGTTAGGTGTCATGTTGTTTAGACCTGGTTTAGTCCTGGTTTTTAGACCTGGTTTACTCCTGATTTTAGACCTGGTTTAGACCAGGTTTAGACCAGGTCTAGACCAGGTCTAGATCGGGTCTTTAGTTCTGGTTTAGTCGTGGTTTAGTCGTGGTTTAGTCCTAGTTTAAACCTGGTTCAGTCCTGCTTTAGTCCTGGTTTAGTCCTGGTTTAGTCCTGGTTTAGTCCTGGGTTAGTCCTGGTTTAGTCCTGGTGTTAGTTCTGGTTTAGAGGCGCACAGGAGGAAGCTCAGTTTACGCGAGAAAACACGTTCCACACGCGGCGCACGAGACGCCGGTGTCCGCGCTGTAACTACGGAAGGAGACGTGGTCCGCGGGTTCTCAGGTTGATGACGATGATGAAGGTGTGTGTTTGTGTTTGTGTGTGTTTGTGTATATGACAGTAGTGCAGATATTATGAGTCTATGCAGGTTGTTTTCACTAGTGCCAGTAGCTCTTGTTTCACATTTAAATTGTAGGCGATTTTATATTTGTTTTTTTATATATATCTCACATCGGGAGAAGAATTTCCAAGACACAAATGCGTTTTTACCAATGCACTGCTGCTTCCACTGTGTGACTGACACCGCCAACTTTAACATGACGTTTCCATCGCTCTTATTGCGCGCGCGCTCTGTTTGGGCTTTCAGGCAATGAGTGAAATTACCGAAATAAAAAAATTAATAAATGGGATGTAGCACAAAATGTGAAAACAGGAAAATACCGCCTTGTAATCCACTTATTTCAGCAAAGTAACTGTAATCTAATTACCACTCATTGAAGCAGTAACTGTAACGGAATACAGTTACTCATAATTTGTACTCTGATTACGTAACGGCGGTACATGTAATCCGTTACTCCCCAACACTGATTATATGAATGGTTGAATTGTCTCACACGTGGCCAGTCACAGAAGATTATCAACAACAAAAAAAAAGCTAGAGGGCTTCTCAGACATTATTGGCACAACAAATACTACACAAGTCAAAGTACACAGGAGTACCCAAGTGTTTAATAACCCACAGCCACCAGTGGTATGAAAGCATAGCCAACTTCTACTGAACTATTACTAGATGTTGTCTCACATCCTGACATTCCTCGATTTCCTTGCTTCATTGTCTTGCCATCAACACACAAAATATCATCACGCTGGGGAAGAAAGATTAAAAAAAAAAAGCACTAGATTAATCATGCTTTAGGTGGATTACGGTAAAATATCAAAAAATGCTATAATGATCAGAATTTAGGAGACAAGCCAATAGGGATGGGACGAGATATAATTTCCACAATACAACACAGAAACAAGATTGGAACTACAAGACAAGATTTTGATTCTTTATAATAAATAAATTGTGCAATCCAGTTCCCAGTTTAATATTAATATGCATTTTGCAACTACAGCTTCTTAAGAAATGTGACTCAACAGTACTTAACTTTATTTTTGCACGCAATTCAAACGTAAAAACACAATCTCACAAGATAATTTTCAGTATGTGTGCACAATCTCGTGGCAATTTTGTCTCATAAACTCTTGTGGCACGAGATCTTTTCCCATCTCTACAAGCCAATTTAAGCACACAGACTTCAGCTAGTGACCTATCCGCCTTCTGACCACATGTCTTTCATTACACTGGCAGGGTGTGGAGGGTGTATAAGCAGCCCCGTGTCTATTTAAAGTTCACAGGAAGTATAAGAAAAGGTACACAGTAATCTGTAAAAACATGTCTGGATTATCACATTTTACCCATGCCTGAATATGTCTCAACATCTGTTCATTTAGATTAAAACAAACAATCTATACTCTATATACTCTATACTCAATGGCCAAAATGAGTTCAGGGGATTCATAACAGAGCTACAGATTCCACTGAAATGAAACTTAACTATTTTATCAGCACATAGTCTCATACTGAAAGTACACCTGTGTTGGCTATAATTATGACATGATTTCTGTTTATTAAAGGTTGTATAGAGGATTTTCCAAGGAACGAGAAATCCAGCGACTGTTTGTCCTTTTTCAAATGTTGCGCATGCGTGAAACCACCCCCCCTCCCTACAGCTCCCTACGTAGAAACGCCTTCTCCCGCCTCCTCACTACGCCAGAAACAGGTTTGTTTACAGCCGGTGAGCTGCACATGACTTGTAAACAACTAACTACAGTGTTGGTTAGGCAAGGCGGAGAAGTGAGGAGCGGGGGGAGCGGTGTGCGGACATTTCGTTCGCGGACGAGAAGTGAGGAGCAGGGAGAAGAGCGGAGCAGGGAGAGAGGAGAGAGGAGAGAGGAGAGGGGAGCGGTGCGCGGAGATTCCGTGCCCGTAGAAGTGAGGAGAAGGGGGAAGAGCGGAACGGGCAGCGGGGACAGGAGTAGGAAAGGGGAGCAGAGAAGGTTGCGCGGAGATTCTGCGAATGAACTAGCTACAACACGCAGCAGCAAGCGGACTCTTTCTTTGCCTTGAAAAATTACGTTTTCAGACATAGGATATCGCTTTCGTGTCCTGAAAAACGTTTGACTAGCTCTTGGAAATAAAGTACGTTTTCATAATAAGCAGAAGTTACCTGTCCAGGAGTAATTTGGCGACCAATGCGTCAGTCTTTAGACCCTGCGTCTGCTTCAGTCGCGCCATCGCTGGAATGAATCTACAAGAATCACCT